GAGCAATCCACCCGCCTCGGCCTCCCAAGAGCTAGGATTACAGGCGTGAGCCACAGCGCCCGGCCAAAGTATATTGTTTGAGTCTCTGCTTTTAGTGCTTTTTAGCTGTATGCCCCAAAGTAGGGTTGCTGGGATCATAGTTATGGCAGCTGTTGATTTTCTTGATGATGTCATGGAGGCGAAACACATTACCGATAGAAAGAAAGACAGCACTCCTACTTGCGAAGCATAGGAATAGAATCTGGCTTCCCAGTCTTTGAGGAGGAGGAGAGGAAGTTGAAGTTCATCGCGGAGGACAGGGCACCGCGGTGACATCAGGCCTGTCGTGGGCGCGTGTGATTCCAGAGGTCAGCCAGAGGATCCAGACGGCGCAGCCCGCCGGGCGCCAGGCCATGCTGCACTACCTGCTGCCCTGGGTGAACAACATCGAGCTCGTGGACCCGAGGCCCTTGCCCTCCCCCAGGCGACACGAGGACGACGAGGACGACGCCCTGAAGGACCGAGAGCTGATGGTGACGAGCAGGCGCTGGCTGCGGGGAGAAGGCTGGGGGTCGCCCCAGGCCACGGCCATGGTCCTGAACAACCTCATGTACATGACGGCAAAGGTAAAGTTGTTTTTTATTTTTATAGTTTATTTTATTTATTTTCATTTATTTATTTTCCTTGCATCAGCTAAGCTTTATACATTTGCAAAAAGGTAAAGTTAAATTGGGTTTTGTGTTTTGCTGCTGCCGCCCAGAATGAGCGAGTTAGGAGGAGTTAAACCCGGTTGGAAACCAGTGTGGAGATCAGATGATCCTGCCATAACCAGACAAAATTGCATTGTACATTCCTCACTTTAAAACAACTATTTTAAAACACTTTAAAACAACTTCTCCCCCCATAATATGCTGAAATTAAAAAAAAAAGTTAATAAAAATAAATAAATGTTGAAGACAAAAATAAATAAATAAATAAAACAACTTCTCTTGATCTGTTTCATTGAGAGGAAAAAAAAGAAACAAAAGAGTTTATAAAAATATATTTATGAATTTTAATAGGCCGAGCGCAGTGTCTCACGCCTGTAATCCTAGCACTCTGGGAGGCCGAGGCAGGAGGATTGCTCGAGGTCAGGAGTATAAAACCAGCCTAAGCAAGAGCAAAACCCCGTCTCTGCTATAAATAGAAATTAATTGGACAACTAAAATATATATATAGAAAAAATGAGCTGGGCATGGTGGCACATGCCTGTAGTCCCAGCTACTCGGGAGGAGGCTGAGGCAGGAGGATCGCTTGAGGCCAGGAGTTGGAGGTTGCTGTGAGCGAGGCTGATGCCACGGCACTCTAACCTGGGCAACACAGTGAGACTCTGTCTCAAAAAAATATATATATATATATTTATAAATTTTAATATATCTTATAAAAATGTAAAAATGAAAAAAAAATAAAACAACTCATTAGACATAAAATTTCATTTTTTCTTTTCTTTTTTTATTTTTACTACATACATGATGGGTGATATTTATCCTTTAGATATGTTGAAAGAAGTTATTGCCCTTTCTAAAGTGTGGGAAAAAATTAGAGCTAAGTGTGAAAGCGTCGCTGCCTAACGTCTCGCCGTGTGGCGAGTCTGGTCCTTAGTAGACGGTCCCTCCTGACGTCCCTCTTGTGTCCTGCACCCAGTACGGCGACGAGCTGGCCTGGTCGGAGGTGGAGAACGTGTGGACCACACTCGCGGACGGCTGGCCCAAGAACCTGAAGATAATTTTGCACTTTTTGATCAGCATCTGCGGGGTGAACAGCGAGCCAAGCCTCTTGCCTTACGTGCGTATTCAAGTTCATGTAGCTTTTTTTTTTTTTTTTTTAATAATATACTAGCCAAAAACAGTATTTACCAAATGTCGGTATCAGTTGCGTGGGCGCAGTGCCGCAGCAGGGTAGTACAAAGGCAGGACATGAGGACAGACAGGAAGGAGGCTTAGCACGTGATTTTGTTCTTGATTGTTGAACAAAGATGTTATCCATTCACTATCTGGAGGCCAAGGTAAGAGGATTCGCTCAAGATCAATAGAGTTCGACGACCCTAGCCTGAGCAAGACGATGTACCGATGCCGATCTCTTACTATATATAAGACAGAAATTAGCTTAGCAAGTATAATAAGATATATAATCAAAATCTTAAACATTCTAAAAAATGAGCCGAAAAGCGTCGGTGGCGCTGCCTGTACTCCCATGTCTAACTCGGCAAGATGACTGGAGGAGGATCGCTTGAGCCCTCGATGGAGAAAATGGTAGGTTGCTGATGAGCGATGGTGACGCCAGCACTCACTCTATAGCCTGAGAGGGCCCAAAAAAAGACCAAGAGTTGAAAGACTCCTGGTCTCAAAAAAAAACATGTTTTACCACCTTCATTCATATAACATACTAGCTGTTATAGAAACCAGTATTCTAAAGTCTTCCTCAACTCAATGTATCCATAAGCGGGCTGCAATGAAGCGGGTGGCTTAGACGCTCAGTCCCCATCAATCTAACAAACAAGTAATAACTGAAGAGTCATTACCCGTAACATGACAGCTTAAAGCTATTCGTGCAAGTGGTAAAGATCCACGTTGCAAAATAAGGCTGGGCAGTGCAAATCTCAAGTAGGGCATTAGGCATATACTCTAAGTCCACCTTTTATCAAAATACTACTGAAAAGATTTCTCTCATACGTTCATAATTCATCAATAATAGATTATATAAAACCACCGCTATTTTTTCAAAAACCTATATCACAGATTACATATTTAATCATGCACACCATCTTTTAAACTGCATATCAATCACCTTTTGATCCATA